CTTCATTTTTATGGGCCCTTTTTTACGTAAATTGTAGACACTGTAAAATTCAAAAAAAAAAAAAAAAAGAGCAGAGCGGTATTATACTGATTTCTTTTCCCCCTTACCGTGGGGAGTTGCGGTGGCAACATGGCCAATTGAACACGACGCCAGCCGCGTACGTCGAGATCGCGTGCGACTCAGCGGACTGTGTCACAGCCCATGTGGCAGTTTCAAGACTAGTTCACACACTTGCGACTGATTACGACCGCGCCTGACCGGGGATCTCGTGATTAATTCAAAACGTATTTAATTGAACGAAAAGGGATAGAGGCCGGATATCTTGAACCGGAGTCATCGGGTGAGGGGGGTTAAAGACAAGAAAGAGGGGGAGAGAGAAAAGAAAAAGGAAGGGTGAAAGGGAACTTAAATATATACATGGCTACATGTGGCCCTTCTGTGTAGTAATAAATCTAAAATTTCTTCGCGGTATTGCTGTGAATGGAGACTAGTTCATTCCTCATGTGTTGTGGGTCTGTGGCTAGAAGGTATGTGGGCTAGACTGAGCTCTCTTGTGAAGGTGTGTTTCCGGCACTCCCAGACGATATGCATGCAAGTTGCCGGCATAGCGCACGAAGCGAGCTGGGTTCATAATCATCAGGGTGTATTGGCTTGTAGAACCGTGCTCGCCATACGGGTGTAATGGCCGCCTGCCCGTCTGGGTCTGCAGCCTCCTGAGACATCTTCTCCCACCTAGGATACTCGGGTGTTACTGGACTAGGAGGATCAAGGGGAAGCAGATCCATCAGGCAGCGCTTCCTAGTTCTCCTGCCCTGCTTCTTGCGTTCGAGGGGATCTGGATGCATTGCGTGTGTTGATGATCCAAGGGGGCCGCAGAGCCTTGTGAGGGTTCATGAGCGTCTAGCCAATCCTTAGCGGCTCGGTCAACCTCCTCGTTACCTGGTATACCTGCGTGGCCAGGTATCCATAACTGTGTTTTCCCTCCCTGGGAGTGTACTCCTTGGCATGTTTCCTTGATGCGTCTCAGCGTGGTGTTTATTATTATTATTATTATTATTATTATTATTATTATTATTATTATTATTATTATTATTTATTTATTTATTTTCTTTTTGCAGTTCGTGCATTCTTTTACGGCCTTTGAGTTCGTAAAGAAATGCAGCTTCTTGGCGTCAAGATCTTATGTCGTTTCGGTTACTCAGTGCTTCCGAAATGGCTAAAAGCTCTGCTGTCTTGGGGCTTGGGATTAGAGGAGCTCTCAGACATTGTGTGTGAGCATCTCGGAGTTAGTGGAATGCCACGACGGTCTTTCCATAAGAGTTGCGCCCTGCGTCTGTGTGATTATTATGTTCTGGGGTTGGCGTAAGGGGTTTATGCCTCACTAAGGTGTTTTTATTGGTATTTCGTCTGCTTTGGGCTCCTTCGACTTCCCCTCCCTGGGGTGTTGGCTGGCGTTTGATAAGGGTGTCCTCCCACAGGGGCGTGGGGGTGAGTTGCTTGGGACGTGGAATGTGTGTTGGCCTATTTGGGACAGAATCACCCTTCCATGCGGCAACATTGACTAATTAATGCCATGGCTGCTATTTCTTTGATTCAGTTTAACTGTGCGGCTTGTTCTAGCTTGTTGATAAGTGTGATCTTAGGGAGTCCCATGATCACTCTCATTGCCGCTCTATTTAGAGTTTTTTGGATTTTTTTCTTGGGTAAAGGATAATTGTAGGCCCATACACCGCTTTAGAGACTAGCAGAGATCCGATCGATTTTCTGAACAACCCCTCTGCTCCCCCCCCCCCCCCCCCCCCCAGGTTTTTCCTGTGGTGCACTTGATGATGTGCAACCGATGTTTCCAATGCGCTTTGATTCCTTTGAATCATCCTCTAGCTCCGCCGTATTTTTCGATATTGAGTCACAGAATCTTAATGTTCCTGTGCTGTAAAAGGGGCCCCGTGTAATGATAATCCAATTTAGTGTCAATGTCTTTGTTCCGCCCTCTACAGTTTGAGATCATATAATCTGTTTTGCCAACCGATAGATTCACCCCTGCCTCATGCATGAATGCTAGTGTAATGTCGAGTGCTTTTTACAAGGTGGCTTACTGAGCCTCCAACGACATGTTTGTGGCCCAGAGGTTACGTCGTCTGCGTATATTGTAAATCCTAGGTCTGCTACGTCTTGGAGACGGAACGCGAGTTCGGAGATGGCCATGTTGAGGAGAGCTGGGGACAATACAGCTCCTTGTGGGATTTTTGTAGCATTGGATGTGGGGGCACCCCTGGTATCCCCTACAATGACTTGAAGTTGAAAGCTTCGTTGGGCAAGGAATGAACGGATGAAATTCTGAAGCCGGACCCCCAGGCCAATGCGTTCCGCGGTCTTGATGACTGTGTGGTGTGATACGGAGTCGAACGCCCTCAGCCGCGACCACGGTGCGTGTCTGGAATTTGGGTGGCGTCACGAAATAATGGTGAATAAGGTCTAGGCTGTCTTGGGTAGACAAGTTTGGTCGGAATACTGTCTGCATGGGATGCAGAGCATCTAAACTAGCTAACGCTTTTAAGACACTTTAGACGGCCCGCAAAAATTGATTTCTCAACGTATCGTGCTGCAATATGCTACAGAGGTGCAAACAGCTGGTAAAAGTTTATAGTGAAACAAAATCAAGGAAAAACTTACCTTCTTCAAAATAAGAAAAAAAAAAAAGAAAACCTGTTTATGGCAATCTACGATGCCACTTCGCAGACGATGCACGCGTAAGGAGAAGTGCTGCCGACAGATGGCGTACGCCGCGTCGTGGGAGCATAAAGGTATTACAATAAACGCTAGAGGCTCATCTGGAGCTAGTGCCTATGGGACTTCCGGTTGCAAATTGAAGCAGACAGCAAGCAGTCTACTTTTCCAGCCTTCCTGTGTATTCCTATGGGAAAACGTACGTGATATTTTTCTCTTCACCAAGGAATAATAGAAATCAGCGAAGTTTCTTTGCTCGTACAACGGGTACTATGTAGCTTTATTCAAACTCTAGAAGCGTAATTTACTTAGTTAATGTTTTTCTTTAATCACTGACCGATGTTTTAGTTAGCAAATATTGAGGCCCAGGTCTATATGTTGTACAGCATGATATGTCAACGCAAGCTATCAATAAATCAATGCAAGCTATCAATGATTATTCATGGATAGTTTGTTACTAATCCAGTACGTGTTCTTCGTTCCATAACTCCATGCTTCGTTCTTGTCGTTTGTTTTGATTCTTTGATTTGTCATATATTAGCATCCTTTTGGTTTCTCAAGCTGATTCACTTTGCGTGCTTCATAGTGTTGACTATACGCGTAAATACGTGCCCTATAATAGCAGTCTGCAACGTCAACACTTATTATACATCTGTATTGGGCTATTTTAGCGCAGTGTTCGACGCCATGAATTCTAAAGAAAAACACTCTGACACGTATTTTAGTACATCCGACTGTAAAACGTTCCAAACTTTTTATTCCGTCACAACACAAAGCAATATTTACACTGATAATCGAGCGCGAAGAGAAAACGCATTTGCGTTTTCCCATAGGAAGGTATTAACGGAAGTCAAATTTAGACTGCTTGCTGTCTGCTTCAAAATGCAACAGCATACTAGCGCCACCTGAACTTCTAGCGTTTATTGTTAATAACTTTATGCGTGGGAGCGCCGGGCGATTCAGGTTGCTAGCAGACGTTCTCACAAAAGAACCCAAATCGGCCGGCGCCAACGGACGGTGCTCAAGGAATCTCTTGAATAGGTGTTTGTTTAAGCTTTCACTCCATAACTAATTTAAGCCACAATATTGAACGAAACAAAAGTTATCATCATCCAAACCAGGTACATTATCGTCAAAAGGGCCAGGTTCCAGATTTTTTTACAAAAATAAACAAAAACAACGGCAGATTTTTATGAAAATTTGGCGCTCGTAATGTAGCCTCAAATGCCATGTCAAAAGTTTTTTTTTTTTTTTTGTTTTTGTTTTTGTTACGCGAAAGGTGCCTCAGCCTGTCAAAGCTCCCGAATATGCGACCTGTCGAAGTTCCAAAATACGCGATCGCCCAAATCTCAAAAATCCGCCTCTTGTCCTTTTGAAGTAAAAAAAAAACGCGAAAATTAAAAATAGAACGCAAAAACGGTTTTCAGTTTTGTTCTAGAAAAGAGTTTTTCCAGAATATATATGTTTTTTCAAAAGATTGATTTTGCGACATGACCCCCTTTTTCTTCACAAATTCCAATAGAATCACCCCCCCCCCCTCCCCCCCCTAACCTGGAAAGTAAAATGCGGGTTGCAAGTTGCAACAGGCGTGCATTAGGCATTGGACGCCCGAAATGTGCCAGGCATTCAGGGTTTATATGTAAAAGGAGGTTGGGTTCCAAAAATCAGGGCCGATGAAAGTAGAGCTGAATGCGATCAATTATTGTTTGTGGAGCCTCTACACTTGCTCTCGAGCCCATGCGTATTAGGAGCGCGTGCAATATAGACGAAGAGCACGTTGACCAGTGATGAATGTTTGTTACCTTATATAGTCACCGGAGAGCTTAGAAACACTAGGCGTAACAGGGGCCAAGAGTCTTATGGCCCGCAAGCGATCGAGGCGTTCAAGAACGCCAAAGAACAAATCACAAAGTAAGCCGGAACATGACAAGCCACGCTCTGCGTTTCTTAAGCTTCTATTTAATACGCATGAAAAATATGAAACCATGCACACGTTTTGAAGCGTAGTTTGCTGAGCTGAATTTACGAGATTCGCACAATGTCCACAAAAAAACAAAAAAAAAGGGGGGGGGGGGGGCTGTGCAGCAATCTTCTTATAATCGTACAAGACTCGGTCAAAGGGAAGAGAGACGAAACTAATCCCTGGAGAAGGGGAACAAGAGGGACAAAGGACAAACACAAACAAATCTCACAAATCTCCAGCTAGGTGACTGGTGCGCGACCGAACAAATCCGCCAGCCAAAGTCCCGGACACCGCGGCACCATCTCCTTACCAGCACGGTGCTCTTGGCCACCATGAAAGTGCTCCTGGACACCAAGTACGACACCAGGAAGATGCTGGAGCCCATCAGCGACGACGTCACGGCCGTCAGATAGAAGGGGTACGCGGGTCCAAGAAGCAACCACACCGGGGTACCGTACCACAGTACCAGGCAGAGCGAGATGCTGGACAGCGCCTACGATTACACGCCTCTGTCACGAGGGCCCATACGCTACGTGCAATTTCCATGCACGTGCATAACAAACTATTTCAGCACACTTTGCGAGTCTGGCGTGTGTTTAGTATGACTAATATTCGTATATCTGATTAATATACCGGACTATAATCAGAAAGCAACCTTACACAGTCATTGCCTGTAAAATTTGACGAAGAGGAGGCCTCTGCGAAGTCAACTTTACTCTCAAGAATCAAGACCGATCTTCCAAATTACATTTAAACGACAGTGTCACACCGGCTTTCTCCTTATGAGAAAAATATAGAATTCTGTTAAGTTTAAGTTCTTACTTTGCTGCCAGGCTGCAGTGGAATGTCAAGGCGATACAAGCTTTCTATTGCCTAACCGTAAATGCTGTCTGCTCTCAGCCGTCTCACGTGGCAGGCCAGAAGGCGGCCGTGGCTCGAACGACTTCCACAATTTCACACAGTGTCCAGTACATTAGCCTAACAACACTTGGCAAATAAACGACGAATGCCCGAACACCAAGCACGCCTCACCACTTCCGCGAGCTTGTAAACGCCCGTCCTGGTGTTCACAATCCCCAGGTTGATGCATCCGCAGTACACTTCCCCGCTCTGCGTCGCCGACGAGGCCGGGCTGAGGTACCTCGTCGTAGTCGTGGTTCTTGTAGTGACTGGCCTCTGTTTATCCATACTTCCCTAACAGCAGGCAGCATGCGGCGAAATGCGCAGACACCACAACACAGACCCGACACAACGAAAGGGTACATTGCACCGGAAGCAGACAGCGGCATTGGACGATGACGTCAGAGCCAGACTCGGAGTGCTGGCGACATGAAACAGAAGGGGCTTTTCCAAGTTTAGAGAGGGCGCGGTGTAACGCCCCGAAGTGGAAGGAGGAGCTGGAGAAAGAGGGTGCCGTCACCGGGAGAAGCAAATCCAACTTGGGTCGGCATTCCCAAAATACACCCCTCTACAGCGGTGCCGCTGAGCTCCTGCAAAGGAATCCCCCTTTTGTGGTGGGTGTGGTATGTACGAAGGACTGAGCTTGAAGCGTTTAGTTTCTCGGAGAACACCTAAAAGGTGCCGACACTGCTATATGCCGTTAATAAAACAACAAAAGAACGCTCAACAGCATGCTTCTGCGCGAAGCACGCGGAATGTGACCACCTTTGGGTGGTCACATTCCGCGTGCTTCGTGAGTATACCCATCGGGCATAGAGGCATTCGAACCCGGAATCACTGGGCGGCGCTGTTGGCTGTATGCCAGGGTCCCCGGCTAGCGCCCAGAACACCGCTAAACCAAGGAATTGGGTCTGTAAGCCCTCTTCTCGCAAACCATCTGAAAAGCAAGCCAACTTGTGGGTGTTGTCAAGTTTCCGAAGAATGAACTATTTATAGCGATTTGAGAGTATCCCGCTCGCCCATTCGCGCGAAGTCGCCAGTTCGAAAACTAGTGAGCTTCTGTTTGTACGCCTGTCATATTTATCAGCACCCGACGGAACATATAATAAACGAAGCAAGGCAGACACTAATGGTCAAGATTTATTAGGCACAACAGAGAAAATACAACAACTAGCTTGCATATAGGATTCCTACTGGCGTTGTCAATAAATACGATTCTATTGCTCAAGATTGTAACAACAAAAGGAACTTGTACTTTGAAGCCTGTGTAACGACGTACTGTAACATAACCAAAAATGGCTTTCACAACACGTTGGTGGGGTTGATTGAAATCCTGGCAGTATAGAACCAGCTGATAAATTGGGTTGGCAAAATGTACGCCAGGGCAGATCGGGCTGCCTCCGACAATTTCTTATGGCCCATTAAGCATTGGTTTCATCAAGGCACAGCCTCCGCTACACGTTCTGAACGTGTAGCTACGTAGAGTCCCGTCAGACAGTGACCAGGTATACAACTTCTCGAATACGAACTTCTACGAGGCACCACGACAAAAGAAGAAATGCTTCCGCACATACAGAACAAGAAGCTCCGGGTGAGCAACAGCACACCACGTCTTACCCTTTGTGCTACAGGGACATGAAGAGAGCTACAGCAAGCTACAGTGGCAGTGGCGCCAACATGAGTATTGATGAACAAGCGTGTGTAGTGATTTTACATTAAGCGACAAGGCAGGGCGTGCGGTTATGACACCACGATGGGCCATGAAAGCTTCATCCCTGTCTGAAGATGCGGAAGGAGAACACAGCACCGAGGAGGTACAAGGCCCCGTTCATGATGCCGAACACCTGAAAGAAAGCAAAATATGGTCGATGGTCATGAACAATCTCACAAAGCTAATTCAAGCACATGTCAAGACTTCAGAATGACCTTACTGAGGTCTAGAAGCATTAAGAACTATTCTTTGGAAGTGTCTTTATTTTACAGGCTTCTTGCCCTTGGGTATATATGTACTCCCAGGCCAGGACACAATAAGATAAACTGGTTTTGTTCCGGCCACGAGACATATTTTGAAGTAATCATCTACCTTACATTCAGCAGTTTGAAACAAATAACCTATAGTCCTATGACATCGAACGACGAAGTACTACGCGAACGCAAAACTCGAAGCCACAAGATAACTCACCGAATTCGTGGTAATTAGGTTATTCCGAAGAAACATATAGGGGCCGGGCAAATATTTCTCAGGAAAGAAAAACATCCCGCGAACGTCACAAAAAAAAAAAAAATAAAAAAATAAAAAACTGATTTTGTATAGTCTTCAAAAAGTAAAATAAAGTTGCGATGTATCACAGCGCCTTCTGATTGGTCCAGTCGGAAATAGCAAGCGTACAAAGACGATAAGCGCCGCCGCGACTATGCACATGAAACAAGGTGGAAAGTTGGGCGAGTTGGTTGATGGTCATATTGAATGGGTTAAAACAGCGCAGAAAGACGAAGGACCAGTAAAAGAAACCACACAGACACAGCGCTGACTTACAACTGAAATATTTACTGCTGAACCATTCAGCAAGTAAACTTGAAGGAATACAAACATAAAAGCAATCGCCCCGAAAACACGTCATCCTCCACTCAAGCCGACACGTCATCCTCCACTCAAGCCGACACGTGGCTACACGTATTTCCCCGCCCTTCTGAAGCCGACACGTGTAGCCACGTGTCGGCTTGAGTGGAGGATGACGTGTTTTCGGGGCGATTGCTTTTATGTTTGTATTCCTTCAAGTTTACTTGCTGAATGGTTCAGCAGTAAATATTTCAGTTGTAACAAAGCGCTGTGTCTGTGTGGTTTCTTTTACTGGTCCTTCGTCTTTCTGCGCTGTTTTAACCCATTCAATATGCACATGAAGTGAGACATATATGGCATCACGTCGTCAGCATGCAGTTGCAAGCTGGCGGTCGTGGTCGTATACTGAGTACACACGTGTCTGAACCATGGCCTCTACGCAGAAATGCTTATTTCCAACTTGACTCACAGCAGCGGCTATCTTGGCATCGTAGACCTCTCCCTTGTAGCGCGAGTGGGTGTCCAGGGTTTTTGTGAGGAGGGTGATGCCAGCCGCCAGGTACAGCGCACACGCCACCAGGTGGAACAGGATCTCCTGCAAGATGCAGTTGGGGGTTTCCGACCTGTACACGCTCCCTCATGCAAAGTCCCAAAGCTCAGGGACGCGGAATGCGGCCCACAATTCAAATGGTTCAAAAATGACCAAATGAGAACACCCACCACACTCCGAGAGGATACACGATCTAAGTTCGAAGCATGTCTTAGGGCCTCGATTACTATAGCTTTCCATCTGTCGTTCTCTTACTTTTACTTTCCTTTTAAACATGTAGGTAGCACAACGAAGCACATAGGAAAGAGAAGTATTTGACGAGTACGATGTGTGTGTTGATCAACATAAACCACACTCGGCACCAAATAACCATGTTGTCCGTGTCCTCAATGCCCATATAATTCGTCGGTCTCTATGTTACTCTTCTGTGAGATTCAATATACTGAATGTTCTTGTTTTTTTTTTTTGTTTTTGT